GTTAATTGGTTGTCGTTTAGTGGTGTTAGTTTTGGTTCGTTTGATTTCGGTCGTTGGGTCGTTGGATTGTTGATTGGTCAGTTAGTGGTGTTAGTGTTGGTTCGTTGGTTGGTCAGCTAGTGGTGTTAGTGGTGGTTCGTTGATTGGTCAGTTAGTGGTGTTAGTGGTGGTTCGTTGGTTGGTCAGTTAGTGGTGTTAGTGGTGGTTCGTTGGTTGGTCAGTTAGTGGTGTTAGTGGTGGTTCGTTGGTTGGTCAGTTAGTGGTGTTAGTGGTGGTTTGTTGGTTGGTCAGTTAGTGCTGTTAGTGGTGTTTCATTGGTTGGTCAGTTAGTGGTGTTAGTGATGGTTCGTTGGTTGGTCAGTTAGTGGTTTTTCTTGTCGTACGTATGTCGGTTCTCGTTCGTTGATCTGTTGGTCTGTTGTTTGTTAGTGGTGTTAGTTATGGTTGGTTGGTTGATTGTCGTAGGTAGGTTGATTGTTTGTTAGTGGATTAATATTCCGTCGTTGGTCGGTTGATTTGTATGTAATGTTTCGGTAAGTGGTGTAAGCTGTAGTTCGTAGTTTTGTGGTCGATGGTAGGATGGTTGTCTGATAGTGGGTTAGTTATTGGTCTGATGTCGGTTAATGGTTGTAGCTTATTTTCGTTGGTATTTGTTTGTTTTCAATATGTTGTTTTTGTTTAATGTGTTCATTTGCACGCACCCTACACACCTATTTGATTTTCGCTGAGTCTGATCATCTTATTGATGAGTCCTATAGCTGATGGGTCCTCTAGCCGATGGGTCCTCTAGCCGATGGATCCTCTAACTGATGGGTCCTTTAGCCGATGGGTCCTCTAGCTGATGTGTCCTTTAGCTGATGGGTCCTTTAGCTGATGGGTCCTCTAGCTGATGGGTCCTCTAGCTGATGGGTCCTCTAGCTGATAGGTCCTCTAGCTGATGGGTCCTCTAGCTGATGAGTCCTCTAGCTGACGGGTCCTCTAGCTGATGGGTCCTCTAGCTGATGGGTCCTCTGGCTGATGGGTCCTCTGGCTGATGGGTCCTCTAGCTGATGGGTCCTCTAGCTGATGGGTCCTCTAGCTGATGGGTCCTCTGGCTGATGGGTCCTCTAGCTGATGGGTCCTCTAGCTGATAGGTCCTCTAGCTGATGGGTCCTCTAGCTGATGGGTCCTCTAGCTGATGGGTCCTCTAGCTGATGGGTCCTCTAGCCGATGAGTGCTCTAGCTGATGGGTCCTCTAGCTGATGAGTGCTCTAGCTGACGCGTCATCTAGCTGATCACTAACTGATGGGTCCAGTAGTTAATGGGTTCTCAAGTTGAACGGTCCTTTGGTTGATGAAGCCTCTTGTTGATGTTTCCTCATGTTGTTGGTTTTCTTGTTGGTGGTCCTATTGATTACGTAGTGACGATGCTCAGAAATAAACAGTCCTTGCTTATCCAAAGTGCAAATCATAATCCACTTACAGAATCCAAAATAAGCTATACAGTTGAGCTAGTTTATCGTATGAGGTCTTTACAATACACGGCAAGACATTTCCTATATCACTATATAACTCAACCAGTCCGCTTTCATTAGATAGTGAAATAGCTGTTGAACACATCATGTCATGTGTTTTGACATGCGTGTTGATTCATTTATCTCCCCCTCCTTCCCCCACCCCTTTCCTCCTCCCTCCCCTCCTCTCCCCGTAGTCAGTACTACCAGTGGTTTTCCTTTGCCCATCTCCCATTGGTCGTACCCTGAACACAAGCTCAGCCACCCACATGTCAAAACAAACCGGCACAATTTAACCTTGCACTAGATAACGTCCTACACCCACCCATCGAACATACACGAATGTCAGACAATCTCACTACACATTGTTTACACGTAGCACTTTCACGTACACACAAAACTCCGTCATCGCACAACCTATCTAACTGCAGTCACCATTGTTTTTTTACCTATCTTAGATCACTTTAAAAGTATGTTTCGCATCACTAAATCGACATTGTGAAGTACCTAGTATATAATTTTGAAATCTTTCTCGTAAATTATTTTTAAAATGATGTAGTACTACATCACATTTATCCAACACCTTTCAGTTTTTATTATTTTCTATGATATGTTTTAAAACGAAGAATGTTTTTCCATACGTTCTTAAACAACTCACAAAAAAAGAGGGAACTAGTCTTTGAAACTTGATGTATTTTATTAGATAAATAAGATGCCGCTAACGAAGAAGTTTATTTTACCGATTTTTTTAACCAAACCCCCCCCCCTCCCCCCCCCCCCCACACACTCACACCCCTCGCCCCCTCCATTTACCATAGGGTGGACGATGATTTAATTATGTGTTTTATATTTTATTTTGATATTGTGTTCTATATTATCCGTGGAGAGGTAGGGGGTGGAATGACTTACCCCAACCCAATAGTTACATATTCCGATATTATTCTCGATTAAGGGGAAGCAACCAAGCTTTGGTGATGCTGTCGGCAGTATTAATAGAGTTGTCGCGCTTCATAAAGAAAATAAATATACATATGAAGGTTGGGTATGGGGGGCGGGTGGGGGGGGGGGGGGTCGAAATGTAATGAGTAGGGGGTGATAGGTTCAGAAAGTGTGATATCCCGCTCTTGCATTTTAAAAATGTGGAACTGAATTTTAAAAGAAATAATTATTTAGCGTATTTTATTGGAAGTTGTGATAAAAGCAGATGCAACATATTGCAGATTTTCTTCCAAACATCTCTTCTAGCCCCCCCCCCCCCCCCCCCAAAAAAAAAGTCTACCGCCCCACACCCCCGTACGACATGGACTTTATATAGAAAATATATACTTTTACCAATGTCCGCCCCCACCCCGGGAAATGTTGACCGCCCCCTCCCACCCCTCCCCCCCCCCCGAAAAAAAATCAAGTGCCCCCGGAGAAAAAAATCTCGAAGAAGAACCGTTTCCATAATGTAGTTAGAGTTAAGGGCAGTGGCGTAGCGAGGTCGGGTGTCACCCGGTGCGGCACTTAATGGTGTCACCCCCAGAGGCGTAGCCACTCTTCCCGGGGACAAACTTTAAATTTTCGATTTGCACCCCCACCCCCCTCAAACTTTCGATTTGCACCCCCCCCTCCCTCAATTTTTTCTGTATTTAATTTTTACTATTCTTTGCCTTGGTGTCACCCCCTTAAATGGTGTCGCCCGGTGCGGTCCGCACCCCCCCCCTCCCTCGCTACGCCTCTGGTTATGGGTATGTTTAAAATTAGAGTTCGGCTGAGGCTGGATGCTTTTTTTTATAAAGTTAATGACTAGATTAATTTTACAATTAGACCTCTGTATATAGAGAGCTTAGTGTGATTATCTGTATGCCCATCTGCCTCTACATTCCCTTAACTTTCTGATACTCTATTGACTTAAACCCGGATTTGAACTCGAGAATTTCAAGTTCACAAATGACATCACATTTCTAGTTTTCGGCATTTTCTGACAATGTGTGACGATGACGGGGTGGGGGTAGGTCAGAAAATATGAACGTTATTTATATTTAAAAAAAACGTTTTAAAAGAGAGTTTGGCTGGAAGGTATTACTTGTTCAAAGTGAATATAATTCTTTTTAATGTTCATAGTGTGTAGAGTGTGTAGAGTGTAAAGGGTTGTGTGGCTTCATGAACAAGTAAATGAATAATTTAGAATGTAAAATCTATAAACGCATGTATTAATTGTTCGGATATTTTAATCACTATTTTATTATGGACGCGTCAGGTAATTGCAATATAGTAAATTAATACTGAAATGTTAATAATACTTAATTATTTTTAAACATGAATACTCGAAATTAGTACTGAATTTTTGTATTTACTTATGCGCTCTTCTGTTGAATGATTACGTGGTTTTTGTGATTCAGTTGTCAAGACAATAGCTTTTAAGTAAAAAGTTACCATTTTCGAGTTCTAGGATTATTATACAATAAACAATTGAATGTTTTTACTAAACTATTTTAGGCGTGGGTCTCGTCTATAATATTAGTAAAGGTATGCAAGAGATAATAAAGTGACCCACGCTTTTCTTTATAGTTATTATATAGTATTGTATTTTTTTATATATTAAAAGAAAATTATTTTTTTTCTCCTTTTAATGTATTATTACATAAAAGCCTATTATTAAAAAAGTTTTTATGCAATTTTTTCCTTAGTTCTACCGCTGGTGAAGAAATTCAGTAGAGGTTGTCTATCATTTTGCGCTTATCGTCTTTCTTTAACAAAATATTTATAAAAAAAATATTTATAAAAGGGGAAATTATTTGATAAAATTCAAAGAGTTGTGGGTGGTCTCCCCTTTTCCTGCCATCCGGCCACAACATTGTGAATATGTGAGTGGTTTTGTCGCTAGACGGGTTGCGTCCAGTGTTTCTTTCATGCATTTCTCCAGTGGTTGGGGCATTGGCCGAAGCAGAAACACCGCGCCCCATTATAAGTTCTATTCAGATTGACTTTTATCCGTTTCAAAGCTATACCAGTAGTATCAAATATTTGAACACAAATGTAGTTGAAAACGAACAGTTTCGTCCAGACTTTTTTCTCCGGGGGGGGGGGGGGGGGGGGCACTTGAAATTTTCGGGAGGGGGGGCGGTAGATTTTCTCCGGGGGGGGGGGGGACACTGTTAAATGTATATATTTTCTATATAAATTCCATTTAGTACGGGGGGGGGGGACGGTAGACTTTTCTCGGGCGGGGGTTGGGGGGTGGGGGGGAAGGGGGGAAGGGGCGAATGGGGGGGGGGGGGGGGGCTCGGAAAAAAACTCTTCCCCATGGCAATGGTTCGATGCTTTCCTTTCCCAAAGTGCACATGAAAATGTTAGTGGCTGAAAAAACTGGGAAAGTTTTTAGATTGTAAATTCTGGTTCTTCCGTCTCAAAAGGTTGCCGACCCCAGTACTAGAGGTATGTGCATATTCGTTTTCCAAACGTTAGCCATACAGATTATACACTTTAATCAAAACACAACAAACAAGAAACAATGGATTAATTTGTTTGTTCTTTATTTTGTTATTGTACTATTTATTAAAATTAATCTTTTATGTTTTGCTCATAAATTTGGTGAATTTCTAAACGTGTTTTCTGTTATTTTCTTTGTTGAAGCTGAAAATAATTAGATATTTTTCATTAATAACTACATACTTCAAATATTACATAAATATTGCAATTAAAATTATTTATTTTCAAATATAATTATAAACTTTTTAAATGTAATATATTTTTTTGAATCCATTTACTTTATATGCTTCAAACATTTAAGCATATATTCATGAAAACAAAACATATTCTGCTTATATAAAAACTGTGTTTAATGATCATTTACAGTAAGTTACAAACAATTTTGCCTTTTTTTAGCGCAATTTCCATACTGGCAATTGCGTTTAATAATGCGTCATTTCTGGATGGATGAATGGATGGATGTGTGTCCGCAGCGTGTCCGCAGCTTTAAGTCGTATCTCCTCCTCAACGAAGCAATATCGAGGACTACTTCCAAAATCAAATATGTTAAGCAAGTTCCGAGAATGAACATAGGCCAAAAAAACTCCCGGAATTCCTTCTAGGATTTTCCGGAAAAGCCAAAAAACCTTTAAAAATGCAGTTTTTGGCCAATATCTCGGCAACCAGACCACTTAGTGACTTGAAACATTTATCAATCGATTTTTGCCATAATTTAGAACAATATTGCCGAAGAAAGTTTTCAAAAATATCCTTTCGTTCGGTCACAAAAAATTAATTAAGAATTTTTAAACTGAGCATCGTGTAGTCCTAGGATGATATTTTTAATTTAAACTGAGCATCTTGTAGGTTTTTAGCGCAAAGCGCTGAGGTTCGAAAGGATTTTACCATAGCGAATGAGCGGAGGTTAGAAAGGATTTTTACGTAGGTCTGTGAATTCTAAAAAAAATAATTAAGGAAATTGCGCTTAAATTGTCACTAGACTTTTTATTAACTTGTTTAATGGAATCCTGTCTCAGAAAATTATTTAACTGTTTATGATCTTTCTATGTCTATCACTGTTCAGATTGTATCACACTTCCGTAAGAATCCCCGAATTATTTCATCAACTTCCGTTTCGCTCGCACAAGTTTCAAACATATTTTTCAAAAAACTGTGTCGGGACTTGCACTTACCATTTAGAGCTACAAGCTCAAAGTAGGTAAATCAGCAGGACTGCATTCCAAGTGGTAGAAATCCGCAAACGTGCATATCTCCCAAAAATACAGGGACAAGAACTGATGATTAAATACTCCACAGCTGATTGGTACAGCTTCCATAAAGCAATTCCGAGTGTTTAACATGAAGCTGTTATAAACAAACATGGGTACATTAATTGTATATTTGAGTCGAATGCTCAGTGGTTTTGAAATATACAATTTTAGAACAAAATCTATAATTTAAAAATATACTTTTTCGTCTAAATTGTTTTTAATGTTATCTATTATTAGGCTAAGTGCTGCTTGAAGTTAATCTTCTTGCGCTAGATTTTTTTTTTTTAAATTATACGAGCCGACCCGCGGCGTATTATACGCCGCTATTTAGTTGTTTTATTTTCTACTTTTCAGTAATTCATAATTTGTGAATTCGACAGTACCAACGCTGCCACTGAAAATATTTGCTTTAAAACACTATCAATAACTCGTTAGGAACGATAACCCCCTCCTCCTTACCCTAACCCCTACCCCCACCCACCCGTGAAAGTAAACTCCCCTTTTTTTTAACTCCCCTAAGTTTAAAATCTTTTCAAACGAAATTATCTGCCCCTTATAGCCGCCACTAAATCCGTCTCTACGATTGTAAACATTTAGCGTGAACTACAGCTCACCAGACCATGTAGGGGTGGGGGTGATAGGGAGCGCGCTTACAGCTTGGTGTTTTCTATCGTCTCCAAGAAGAGAATTATATATATAATTATTCATTTTGGCTTTTTGAGCCTAAGATCAATTCAAAATATAAAAAAAAAAAGATCAACACCAACCAAAATCAAAATGACAACAATTAACAATAACATGTTTGTATCTTACCTGCACCTGTCAGTGACGTCATTGGGCGGCAGAGGACTGCGTCGACAGCATCTGTCAACATCTCTAACAACATTACTTGCGATCGCCGGATCATTCAGGCATTGGAACTGGCCTATGCCTTGACATGGAAGCAAAAGCCGTAAATATTAGAACAAAAAATAAAACCTTTATAATGATTGGTCGAGTGGTCGAGTCGGTAAAGCTCAAGGTTGCTAAACCGAAAAGTCTAGAGTTCGAGCCCTCGGGCAGATGAGGCTCGTTAGCTGGGGACAGCCACTCTTCTCAGGAGAGACAACTCCAAAATCAAATAACTGCTGCCTTGTAGTATGTTCTTTGTCGGACAAAAGCTATGGAAGCAAATCCAAAAAGAAAAGCAGGCTGAAATCGGAGTCAATGGCCTCAATGGCGCATAACCAGTTGACACGTATCCTTAATAGTGATGGAGGCGTGGTCGAGTCGGCAAAAAAGCTCATGGTTAATAAATTCGAAAAAGTCTCGAGTTCAAACCCTCTGGCAGATAAGGCTCGATCCCCTCCAACACTAAAAATTAAGAACGAAGAAGAAGATCTAGTCATTAACTTTTTTTAAAAAAGCATCTAGCCTCAGCCGAAGGGAATTGGGAATATACTAATGATCCTGTGATGAAATTATTTGGAGTTAAATACTTTTATAGTTTCAACCTTGTTTTGTCTTTTATATGGATCTTACATTAACTGTTGATTACATCTTTATTCCGCCAAACATTGAACCTCATATCAGCACACCAGTGTCTGAGAGCTAAAGGCTTGTTACGCCAGGTTACCCACAACAAACATAAACACACACACGCACAGACAAATCATGCATACTCATGCCCACACGAACACCTACACACACACCTAAGCGACTTAAGGATGAAAAACAGAGCATTTCTCAATCACCGATAGTGACAGCCGCTACACATGTACACAACAAGAAACATAAACACACACACGCACAGACAAATCATGCATACTCATGCCCATACGAACACCTACACACACGCCTAAGCGACTTGAGGATGAAAAGCCGAGCATTTCTCAATCACCGACATTGACACCTGCTACACTCGTGCACATGTACCCGCAATTAGAATCGCTGCACTTAGTTTTAATTGACACGGTGTGTGGAGAGTTGAGAATTTGAGGGATAATTTACACATGCAGGTAAGTCAACCTGTACATTTTTTTTTGCTGTTTATATGTTTATCTTGTTGAATTAAAAATTATTCCTACAACATTGTTATTTACTTATACAGTGATTATTACAATAGCGCAATGAGGGTAGAGATATTAACTTTCTTCTTGTTCATAGTACCTCATACAAGTATAGCAGGATCTGATAGCTGAATGAGGGTACTACTAGGTGGAGTTTACACACACACAACATACACACACACTTATACACACACTAGTACACACACATAAGCAATATTAGCACCTCTATTGGCACTTAGCCTATATAGTGAAGGGGTATCTTGAACTTTTTATTTATTCATTTCTGGTACATCTGGTTTTCCGTAGCGATGTCAGGTTATCCGTAGGGAGCTTTATGTATCCAATTTGATGAAAGAGGCTCCCTCTAATTATTACGTTATCTGTAGCACAAAAGTCTTTAAATGTTTTGCCATTGTATTTCACCTCATCAAACCCAGCTGTTCCATAATTTTTCATGTCCTCTGTTGTTGTTGCCAAGTTTAGCATTTAAATTCACACATTAGTATAGGATGTTTTTCCGACGGTTATAGATTGTGGCCATTATCTCATTTTCTTTGTCCTCTACTTTGTTGATATTTATTTAGATCTATGCCTGTATTTTATGCGTGTTTATTCTTCTCATTCTCGTTGGAAACCTGGCTGTTATACCCTTCAAACTTCAGATGGCTTATATTTTATGTTTTTATCATAAATTCTCCAGCGGGAGATTCATATTTTTCCAGGTCCTTATTTCTATTTGTCAAGCCCTTTTCCCCACCATCTTTTTTTCTCAACCGACTTCAGTAATTATCAAAGCCTCTTAAAATTATGAAGGAACAATAAAGTAGAAGAAGGCAAAATTAAACAAAAACCGTGTGTTGCTAATGTAAAAGCATTGGAAAAGATTGTTAAAGCAAAAATCAAGACATGCAGAAAAAAGGGCAAACACCATTATATAGATATGCTGACAATTGAAGCAGAAGAATCCCAAGTATTTAGAAATACGAGTGGCCTTTTCAGTACATTTATAAATACATGTCTATGAAGTTCTGTAACTCAGAAAAATCAGTGAGGACGAATAATGGAAAGGTAAAAATGAATGCGGAAAGTCATTCCCAAAATGCACGAAACATATACCAAAAGTTTAAAGTGATCTGACTCTAGAATTTAATCAATCTTTAAATGCAGTTATACAACAAAGGTGTTAGTCAATTAAATAGGGAAAAGCACCAAGAATAGATGGTAAAAAGGCAGAAGCACTGTCAGAAGATATTGGAACTATCTCTTATTATTCTCTAACTAAACAAGGATAACACTTGTGCCTGTCTATACCAGGCAAAGAATAATCAATTTTATAGCAATTTTCTAAAGGTCTCTATTACATTTAAAACATCTCACAAAGGCATCGAAACAGCCTTAATTTGTAACCAACCGCTTCCCCCATGCCAACCACCACCAAAATCTTATATCCAGATACCTACCGTGACCAAATGAACAGAACATCCATCCTATTCTTTTATGTCTATCCATTTTTACAGTTTGGAGGAAATCATCGAAGCAAACAGTTTCTCTGGCAGTGCAATTGTCATACTCATACCAAATGCTAACATTGATCACGTGAAAAACAAAGTACAGGGACATGTATATATTTAGATACCCATATCGTTTAACATGTTGTAAACTGTAATTATTTAAAAGGTGTGTCACTGCAAAAATTACGGGACGGAGTGGTCTAGCGGTAGAGAGCTGGACTGCTACATCTCGAGTTCGAATCCGGGTTCAAGTCAATAGACCGTCCGTGAGTCCACCCAACTCTGATGGGTACCTAACTCACATTAGGGAAAGTAAAGGCGGCCGAGGTCTCCGAAACAAGTGAACTCTTCTTCGCTTTCCCTATAGACCGTCAGGTTTGAAAAGGGAACTTTACTTTTTGTACTATAAAATGTATGCTCGAATATAAGCATTGTGCAGATTGACTTGTCCAGTATACTCAATATACACAATTTGCAAGTATTTTGTCTAGGACTTGTTTCAACACCCCAAGTTTAAGTATTCGACCAGAAGAGCTGGTTTTGTGCCGTATTACATTTAAAAGACAGCCAACACATATTATTGCAACATTTGTTATATTGTCTAACGCGAAGAATCAGGGAAAAAAGAACGTTATTCACAAGGATATTTACATTTCAAATCCTTTATTTGACGATTATTGTCTTTCCCTTCCCCTCCATCATCACAAAAAGCTAGACCCCACTTTCAAAAAGACATCACATCTAAGACATGTTTTTGTCTTTTTAAAACGCCTATTTCGGCTGAGCATGGGTCTGACCACACTATCCCTTTATACAATGTTGTCACAGAAACAGGTGAACTCTACTTCACCTGCCCAGTGTTTCGCCAAGTCTCAGACAACATGGTTTTGTCTTTTATAACATCGATTTCGGCTGAACATGGGTCTGACCATACTATCCTTTCACATCCTGCGGTCACAGGTGAATTCTACTTCACCTGTCGAACTCTACTTAACGTGACCAGTGTCCCGCCAAGTCCCGATAGGCAACTTTATCAATCACATCTTTTTAAAAAAAATCGATTTACTTATTTGATATTTTCTGAGTTCGCACTTCATTTAAACAATAAATAATTCTTTTTTATTAAAGCTGACGTCAAACTAATATTAATGAATTAGAACTGATCACGCATTATGTGATTTCGAACTGTGGATTTAGCTTTATAAGGCGTTAACCTTTTGAATGGGCAACATGGCCTTCCATGAAGTCCGCCATGTTTGTTTAGAAAATAAGTACTTAAATCAAGCCAGTGAAAGTTTTTAAACATTTTTCTCAAAATAAGGTTCTTGTTCCGAAATTTTTAAATTAAAGTGGTGTTTCAACTAATGAATATATCAATAAATTAATTAACTTCTTTAAATGAATTTGTGATTAACAGTCTGGTAAAAATGAATGTTGTTCTCTACATAAATAGGTATTATACACTTCTAGTCCTGATACTCTCATGTAACCAAACAGACAAAAAATTAATTAAAAAATATTTAAATTTTTTTAAAAAATGTACGAACTTCTCACTTTTAGTGGAATATAGATATATTTTTAATGCCTTTCTTTCTATAGCAATGCCTATCTTTAGTATGTCATATTGAATGACAATTAAGAGAAAGAATTGCTTGTTAACTTACTTGGTACCAAACTATTTAAAGAAGCTTTATGGGGAACACCTATGAGACTATTTAATGAAAGGTATTAACTTGAGTCAGTCATGGAAGTAGTGTTAACGTGTTTATTTTTCACACTACAGCTTACTTCGATTTAAAAAACAATCACTTCTATGGTGAACTTTTTTTTACAAAAAAAAGTTGCACGAACATATTATTTAGAAAAAATAATAATTGGTTTTTGTTTGGTTGGATTTTTGCCGACTATACACACACCCGCATTGCGGGTTCTGGCGGTATGGCAGTTCCGCCCCTGCCGCTAACATAAGCTAGATACACATCAGATCTGAGAGAACTAAGTTAATTCAACCAGACTCGACCACATAAAACGAGTTTGTTTTCCTTATTGAAATATCCAGTGCATTTAAAATCTTATTATTATACTTAGACATATTTATTTTATTATAAGATTTCACTTAATTTAAACTGTCTGCTTGTTTGTGTTTTGTTTATATATATATATATTTCAAATCTAACAACTCTATACACCACAGACAAAGAAAATTAAAAAAAAAAACATTTCTACCGCTCAAAGGTGTGGACAGTCGTGTGAGGTAAAAACGGCCAATGATAAATCGGCCCCGTCAAAACGACCCTGACATAAGAGCCACGTTAATCTCACCGCGTCAAAAGGGCCAGCGACAAATTATGCTCCCGACAAATAAGCTTCCGTAATATAGGCTTCCGACAAGTAGGCTCACGTCAACTTGGCTCTTGACAAAACGGCTCCCCTCTTTATGACTCCCGACAAAACAGCTCACGTTGTTACGACTTCCAACAAATAGGCACCTGTCATTTTGGCTACCGACAAAAGGGCCCATGTCAAAACGGTTTCTGTAAAGACTAAGTCTCCCGGCGAAACGTTCTCATTGGATATGGCACTTGCTAGTTTTAGAGTTAACTTAGCCAACACTCTTAAGTAATACAACGCATGCATCTCTTGATCGGCACGCCTTAATTTTGTATGTACCATAAGTCATAATATTATGTTTTAAATTTATGGGTCACCTAGAGTCGGTTGTAGGCTGTTCCAACTCAGTGTGTGGGCAGAAGGGTCCACGATGTGCATTCCTACTCTGCAGTATGCTTGTAGGTTGTCAAAAGAAAATGTTATCCTGTAAACAGCATGCACATCAGACATTTCTGTGCCCGCTTTTAAGCAACATGTCTTTACTGTTCTAAACTAAACATTATCACAATTTTAAAAAAATGTGGAATTTAGCTGTTAAGGACTCGATTTCATTCAAGCATTTAAAAGAGGCAATAATGGTAGTGGAGTAGTAGTAGTAAAGTTTCCTTTTTAAACCTGACGGTCTATGGGGCAAGTGAAGTAGAGTTCACTTTTTCTGTGACCTATGCATATGAAGAGATAGTGTAGTCAGCACTATGCACACCCGCCTTTACTTGCCCTAACGTGAGTTAGGTACCCATCAGAGTAGGCTGGACTGATGGACGGTTTACTGACTTTAACCCGGATTCGAACTCGAGACTTAAGGGTTAGCAGTCCAGCTCTCTACCGCTAGACCACTCCGTCCCGTAATGGAAGTGGAGGTAGGACAAAATAGTTACTTCTATGCAAATAGTTGTCATACGAATAATTTGTCTGGAGCCAAAATGTCGGAAGTCATTTTGTTTGGAGCCCATATGTCGGAAGTCTATTTGTCGTGAGCCAAAATGTCTGGAGCTCATTTGTCGGACGCCAATATGTCATGAGCCCATTTGACGTGAGCCAATATTAAAAAAGCAGGTTGTATTATTTTTTTCTATTTTCATCTTATTTCATATCTTACTATCATTACAATAAAAAAAAATATTTATTTACTTTTAAATTAACAGAGAAAGTTAACCAATGACAACTCACGGACATGGCGTATCTCGAAGAAATTGATTGAGAGATCCGACAAAATTGTTGGGAGCGACAACGAAAGGCGGCGGGCATGCCTCATCGCAAGTTCGTCCTTTGACAACATGTCTCTCTGAGAAAGAAACAAATGCTCTTATTTCAAGTGCATTTTTCACTTTTACATGCAACGTATTGATAAGGGAAAAAAACTATATATCTTGAAAGGAAATGCTAAACCAATGTAAATGTCTGTATTATGTGTGTATTCAGTCATGGGTAAATAAATTGTTATAAACTGAAAATGTTATATGACTTTCTGATTCTATTTGATAGACTGAAACAGCTTCACGCTAGCAGACGCAGACAACACCGACCATGACCATGACCATGACCATGACCATGACCATGACCATGACCATGACCATGACCATGACCATGACCATGACCATGACCATGACCATGACCATGACCATGACCATGACCATGACCATGACCATGACCATGACCATGACCATGACCATGACCATGACCATGACCATGACCATGACCATGACCATGACCATGACCATGACCATGACCATGACCATGACCATGACCATGACCATGACCATGACCATGACCATGACCATGACCATGACCATGACCATGACCATGACCATGACCATGACCATGACCATGACCATGACCATGACCATGACCATGACCATGACCATGACCATGACCATGACCATGACCATGACCATGACCATGACCATGACCATGACCATGACCATGACCATGACCATGACCATGACCATGACCATGACCATGACCATGACCATGACCATGACCATGACCATGACCATGACCATGACCATGACCATGACCATGACCATGACCATGACCATGACCATGACCATGACCATGACCATGACCATGACCATGACCATGACCATGACCATGACCATGACCATGGCCCCTATCCCGACCCCGACCCCGACCCCGATCCCGACCCCGACCCCGACCCCGATCCCGATCCCGATCCCGATCCTGATCCTGATCCTGATCCTGATCCTGATCCTGATCCTGATCCTGATCCTGATCCTGATCCTGATCCTGATCCTGATCCTGATCCTGATCCTGATCCTGATCCTGATCCCGTGATCCTGACATTAACTTTGACCACCACCATAACGATTACCATCCAGATTCTGATCCTTTATATTACCTTAATCCTAAACCTAAACATTTGTTACTTATCATATTTTAAAATTAGTCTGAGGAGAGAACTATTTATAACAGCCTTAAAAAAGTATTTTAGACACCATCCCCAGTATATTTTATGTAATGTATCAGTCCGTCATGCAGCGCTCACCGCAAAAGACCCAACATAATATACATAGTACATTTAGTTATCTGCTCAATGTAATTTTCTTTAAGGGGTAGGCTTTTTACAACTTTTTAAAGGTACATCCGAATATGCATTTCCACTAAAAGAATTGGTAAACATTTTTGGTAACTATGACGATGGCGGCCATCTTGAAAAATTAACCTCTCCTTAGGATTTCCACGTTTCATAAAACATTATATTTTAGGCCAATACACTGCTACAATAATTTAAGATACTCAGCTACAAGTTTTAAGTGCAGATCTTCAATCTAGTTTCTTATGAACTTTCAAATACTGGATACATTAAAAAACACTGAATTTCGGGGAATTTTGGGGTATACAATTTAGTAAAAACCAATCAACAAGAAACAAAGCAAGATAAGGTAAGCTCGATTAAACGAAAAAATGTCAAGACTGTAAAAGAGAAGAAATTATCAAAATAGCTTATGCCGCTTATTCTTGTTAAGAGTAAAGTAAATTATGATTATTATGTGTGTGTTTGTGTACAAAGCAGTGTTATCAATAAATAATGTTAATAATAGTTAGCAGCTATTTAACCGTACGTTTTTTTTTCAAATTTTTTGTGTATATATGTCAATGATTGTTATTCAAAGCTTTGTATCATTATTTTTCTTGTAGTTAATAATTTATTAACACATAAAAAAAGTTCATAGACCCGGAAGCATAGCTTTGAGCTAACTAGGCTTTGACCCCAGAATGAACGGATATAATTATTTTAACAACGCTACAAAACTAGTATTTTAATTTAACATCAAATTCTGAATTGTCGTCGTGTCTTGAACTACTTATCTAATTCTAAACACATACGTCTACGTTCAACAGAAGTGGTTAAATTTCGCTCACAAGATTTCACAAAAGCATACATGACGAACCAGAAATCAATATTGTAAAAAAATGAAATTTAAGGTAAAAATTACTTTAAATTTGAAAAGAATCCTGTGTAGGGTATCACTGACCTGCCAAGAGAAGAGCAGAGATGAATATTAGGGAAGCTTTCATCATGATGAAAATAAAGACTGAACGGTTGTTGATGTGAGGCTGGGCTCTAAGATGGCTGGGCTGCTTACTGTGCGGTACATATATAAGGTAGGGAACAGAGACAGTGCAGGCGTGCAGGGTATTTTAACCCTTTGAGCCCTGGCCTCCCTGGCCTAATTTCTCCCATTTCCTGAGCTCCCATGGCCAAACCAATTTTTACTTATCTGCTTCTAACTTTGCCTATAACTTTTGAACCGTTTGAGATAATCAAGCCAAATTTGGTATCCAGACTCAGGATCAAACAACAATGCAACCAGATTCTGAAATTCTTTATTTTTTTTTACAATGTATGAACAGAACAATGTATATAAAACGATCACGTAATTATTGTTTTGATAGAACATAAAAGAAACCAATGTACATTTAGTAATTGTTTTGTTATTATTGATACCTGGCAATACTAGTTCAACACCAGAGGTCCACTTTTGTGTGATAACTTTCACAACAATTATTACTGCCGGACCCGATGCAAAGAAAAACTTCGCATGTTTGGCACCAGTAAACATTTTTAGCGCAATTTCCATTCTGGAGAATTGCGTTTATTAACCCGTCATTTCTGGATGTATGAATGTATGAATGAATGGATGGATGGATGGATGTATGTGTGTCCGCAGCTTTAAGTCGTATCTCCTCCTCAACGAAGCAATATCGATGACTAGTTCCAAAAGCAATTATGTTAAGCAAGTTACGAGGATGAACATCGGCCATAAAAATTCCGGGTTTCTTTCATGTATTTCCCGGAAAAGCCAAAAAACCTCGAAAAAAGCAGTTTTTGGCCCATATCTCGGCAACCAGACCACTTAGCCACTTGAAATATGTACCAATCGATTCCTGTCATAATTTAGAACAATATTGCCGAAGAAAGTTTTCAAAAATATCCTTTCGTTCGGTCACAAAAAAATTTTTGAATTAATTTAAATTTGGACCGAATTAGTAGGCATTTTATGCAACCACACCACACGCGTCATCACGTTCAATAGATGCGCCATCACGTTCAATGGCTGCGACGTCACGTTCGGTAGCTGGGCGCGCAATGGTTTTTAGTCATGTTACTCTATTGTAAATAAAACATGTAAAATACTGAAAAATAAACCGGGAGTGATCTCCCCTAAACTTTCTCGAATATTCTAATATAACACTACAGGGGATGGCAACTCGGGATATAGACTTCTAGACATGATTTTTAATCCATTTTAAATACTCACATTTCTTAAAATAGAATATAATCTCGTAGAAAAAAGAAATACACACCAAGTGAACGCTAAATAAAAAAGCGCATAATAGTGCGCAATATTATTAGTACTTTATAAATTTACATGCGTTTTTTGAGAAATCGGAAATAGCGTAAATAAGTACTTCCGGTCAACGGAAATTACTCAACATTGGACAGAAGGTAGAGAATTAGCTCTTTTACTTACATATCAAATTTCATTTATCTATCTGAAATAGTACTCAAGATATAGGCTTTTGAAAAATTCAAAGTAGAAAAAGTACCACTTCCGGTTATCGGAATTCGCTCAAAAGTTGATATGGATCTACGATTTTGATAAAATACTTATATATGAAATTTCACCAGCCTAGCGGTAACGGTACTCAAGTTATCGTGTTTACACACGGACACACAGACACACAGACACACACACAGACATACGGACAAGATTGCAAAATTATGTTTTTCCGTATCAGTGAGGTGTAAAACGTCGAGATTTGTAAAAATCTCGATTTTTTTTTTTGCACGATTACAATACTTTCTCTATACTACGTATATACGAGAAAGTAAAAAATTAATAAAAAACGTTTTAATAACTAACCAATGGTTTTACTAACCCTGCTCTTGATTTACGCTAAAATTGTCACTAGACTTTTTTTAATTACTTGTTTTTTCGTTTCGGCAAGTCTTTGTCCTTGACACCACGTGCATCAGAACGTACTTGAACAGTTTCATTATCACTGTCAATTTCAATGTCACTGAGTTCAGTCTCAAATTCAACGTCACTATCATCATAATGTAGACCAGGAATAATATCTTCTTCATCAGAATCAATAAGTAGGTGTATTGCCTGAGATGCAGTCATTCTACTTCTTTTGTTGATATTTCGGTCTTTTGCTTCATCTTTTGCACCAACTTTATGTGATGAAGTCGACGGCTGTGGTTCAGCTTTTCGATTCGGCGGCATTGCTACGAAATGTAAATACTTTCACTTTTCCTAAAAATCAATTTTTAAAACCATAATCCCGCACTCAAAAGACATATGCGCAGTTTTAGTCAGACTTCCGCAAATTATATTTAATTAGCCGGTATACCGACCGCTAGGAATATGACGCTAGATCGTCGGGCCGGAAAACCGGCTTTTCGGACATATATGCCTAATGTTGAAGCCGGTTTACTTGCCTGGCGGGCTCAAAGGGTTAATTTGCCACGTAGTAGGCATTGGCAGTTTTCAAACTGGTGGGCGTGTACCGGTTTAGTTTAAAGGCTATACAATACTTCGGGGCGTGATTCATAAAGGAAGGAGGAGGTGTTGAATGAGACTTATGGATGGAATGTTTATGAATTTTGTAACTAGAATATGTTGGTTTTGGCTAGTCAAAGTATTGATCGGCAAATTATTAAGAAGGGGAATTATCTATGTATTAAAAACAGTGGCGTCGCTATGTCGGGTGTCACCAGGTGCGGCACTTTGTGTTGTCACCCCCTTCCCTAAAAAAAAACAACGTATATATATATATATATATATATATATATATATATATATATATATATATATATATATATATATATATATTGGATATAGCATTGTTTTCCTAAAGTTAGCGGGAAAAACAATTTTCTTCTGAACATTTTGCAATTTTTTGTCTTGCAATCTGACTAGTAAACGATTTAGGCTAGTTCAGCCACCGTTTGGGCATGGCGACATAGCAGACACCCACAACAAAATCTACTCTCATGATTCTACACCGCTTTATAAAACAACAACATCTAGACCGCGCTAAAGGCCATCTACAGCATCAGCACAAAACACACAACTTATATCAACACTACACTTCGCGATATCAGCATCATATTACACATCATGCACATCCACATCTATACTACACTGCACGATATTCACAGCCACCTGTTACCCATGAACTCTTTGCTCCTCAAGCATTACATTACACATCATGCACATCCACATCTATACTACACTGCTCGATATTCACAGCCACCTGTTACCCATGAACTCTTTGCTCCTCAACATTGTTATTGTCCAAAAAATTTTAAAACAATCAGGCCCACTTTCAACGTCCTTTGAAATTTACGAATATCACACTGCATTAAGTTCTTAAAAAATTAGCATTAAGCAAACCAGTAAACAATAGAAAAATTTAATGTAACATTACATTTGAGACTTCAATCAATGGCACTCTGCATTAGTTATTAAACATACAGTCCGTATTTCATCAAAATTAAATTCGAATTCTTGAATCAAATGTGAATGTGAATGTGAATGTGAATGTGAATGTGAATGTGAATGTGAATGTGAATGTGAATGTGAATGTGAATGTGAATGTGAATGTGAATGTGAATGTGAATGTGAATGTGAATGTGAATGTGAATGTGAATGTGAATGTGAATGTGAATGTGAATGTGAATGTGAATGTGAATGTGAATGTGAATGTGAATGTGAACGTGAACGTGAATGTGAATGTGAATGTGAATGTGAATGTGAATGTGAATGTGAATGTGAATGTGAATGTGAATGTGAATGTGAATGTGAATGTGAATGTGAATGTGAATGTGAATGTGAATGTGAATGTGAATGTGAATGTGAATGTGAATGTGAATGTGAATGTGAATGTGAATGTGAATGTGAATGTGAATGTGAATGTGAATGTGACTGTGACTGTGACTGTGACTGCGAATGCGAATGCGAATATCAATGCGAATGCGAATGCGAATGTGAAAAGCCGTCGGAAATTCTTCTTGAACTCCGTAGATTGGGTAAAAGGTTTTGTATCCTTTAGTATTCTTCTAAATGTATTCCCGAATTCCCTACTTATTCCTTTGTACTTTGTATTGTCATTTATTTACAAAAAAAATATTTATATTGCCAGAACTCACGATCTTATGACATAGCGCAACTTTTGTTTTCTTTTTTACTTTCTCGAATAAACAAAGTGTAGAGAAAGTCTTCTAATCGTTAAAAAAAAATCGAGATTTTTCCAAATCTCGATGTTTTAGGGCTTCCTGAGTCGGAAAAACGTAGTTTTGCAATCTTGTCCGTATGTCTTTGTGTATGTGTGTCTCTGTGCGTGTGTGTGTGCGTGTGCGTGTGTGTAAACACGATAATTTGAGTACCGTTACAGCTAGGTTTCATATATAAGTATTATATCAAAATCGTAGATCCGTATCAGCTTTTGAGCAATTTCCGATAACCGGAAGTGGAACTTTTTCTACTTTAATTTTTTAAAAGCCTATAACTTGAGTACTACTTCAGTTAGATAAATGAAATTTTACATGTAAGTCAAAAATCTGATTCTCTACCTTCTATAAAATTTTGAGTGATTTCCGTCGACTGGAAGTAGTGATTTACTACTGGAAGTAGTGATTTACGCTATTTCCGATTTTTCAAAAAAACTCATGTGAATTTATAAAGTACTAATAATATCCCGCATTATTATGCACATTTTATTAAGCGTTCAATTGGTGTGCAATTCTTTTTTTTTACGAGATTCTATTCTATTATAACATTAATTAAAAATGGATTTAAAATATTGTCTATGTCACGAGTTACCATCCCCCAGAGTGTTATATTCGAATTTTCGAGAAAGTTTAGGGGAGATCACTCCCGTTTTTTTTTCTAAAGATTGCAAGATTGCAAGGCGATCTTTGAAATGAACAAACGCCGAGTGGACCCTACCATGTACTTTATTATTTGAAATGCAGTTTTAAACAATTGGCCTGAATTGTAAATGTTAATACTGCTGATTGCGTCCAAAATTCAGCCTTGCTGTTTGTAAATCAGTATGAATACTTAGAGCATCAAAACATCCCAATCTAAAGCAGTCCTCGCGTATACCAAACGCAGACTGTTGACAGGGTAGCATAACATAGTGTAGAAGTGTCTTTATGTAATATATGTTACTGAACTAAGTTGTGTTGAGAATAGAAAAACCATACTTTGTTGTTGTAGATAAACACCTAGACAAGTCTGCTTATAAATGATCAGCAATTAAGTAAATGTATTAGTGTATATTAGTTCACATAGACATTTTCGCAAACAAAACAAAGCTGAAACAACGAATTGGGAACACAGAAAGATATGGAAATAGACGTTCATGTACACAGACGTATGTGCGCACAGTAAATTATGCCTGTTTATATTACAATTGATAATGGATTTTTTTCTAGTGACTTTTTTCCTTTTAACTTTTTTCCTGTGACTTTTTGACCTGTTACGTTTTTCCTACTATCTTTCTTAATATCGTTTTATGGTACCAAAACCATTTTAACTCTCAATTTTTTTAACGCTCCTTAGAGCTACTAGTCCATTCAAAGGACGTATAGATCACGAATTGTATGTATCAGTCAAGTAAGGTTTGAATGTTATAGTCGAGCATGATAAAATGTATTCAACTCAAATTTTCTGATATCCACAATACGAATATATCTCTATTATATTTTATTTTTTATTTTTCACTGTCTAGATTTAAAAAAAAAATATTTATTTAAAGAACTAACAAATAAAACGAAAACTGCAATAATATAATCAGTCCATCCGCATTTTGAGATGATTGCTTACTTAATTAAATATACCTGCTCATCCCTAGTCGCTACTCCCCCCCCCCCCCCTCCAACTCCGTACGGGAACATTTATTCACAATAGGATGTCGATTCCCTACTTAGAATAAATATATAACACCTCAACTACCATGCTTTTAAGAACAGAAATTTCGTTCATCAAATATATGTCCATAGCTTTGACATATGTGTATATGTTAAGTAATACGCATTTTTTTTAAAATTCTGAATACATTTAGAAACTGCTGGAATTCATCTCCTAAATTTTATTTGTCTCAGTTTAGCACGACGTACAAACAATAAGATTATTTTGTTGTTTAATAATTGTGTATTTTTAAGTGCTTTTATTTAACTTGCCTATTCTGTCTGTCTGTATGGGTCACAACAGGCAAGCTCTAGGGACTGTTGCCACCCACTTCATTTGGATCAGCCTAAGTATGTTAAGCCTACATTAACAAGATACCAATCGTAGTATGACACGTATCATTTATCGACCGGCAAGACCTTTGCAATGCTTGCTCAAATTCGAATTTTTCTCGATGTGGAATTTTAATAAATGACTCAGTAGTTTAATTAAATGTGTGGATTATTTGTAGAATGTTCTATTTTATGTTATATCCTATATTATTGGTTACACAGAATATTTATTAACTGTAATTTGCGAATGACAAAGTAAACGGCCATTTTAGGTAGGTTATCAAGTGACGCAGTGGACGGCCATTTTAGCCAGGTTCAATAATGACGTTGTAGACGGCTGACATTGCTAGTTTTTAACAGTGACGTAGTAGACGGCCAATGTTTCTAGTTTAAAAAGTGCCGTAATGGACGGTCTTTACAACTATGTTCAATGTAGGATCAGTGGACCGCTGTTATAGCTATTCTGAAAATTTAAAAAATGGACGGCCGTTGTAGCTATTCTAACAAGTGACTAAATGGACGGCCATTATAGCTGTTCCAACAAGCGACGAATTGGACGGCCATTATAGCTTTTCTAACAAGTGACTAAATGGACGACCGCTGTTCCAACAAGTGCCCTAATAAATGAATGCTATACCCAGTTATCTAGTAAATAAAGACCAAAGCATCTAAGAATTCAGAGAAGTATTAAACAAGTGATTTTATATTTTTGTAATAATTCGTGTTGCTTGTAAATCTGTGAAAATAGTATTTCTTTTGTCAGATGCGCAACAGCAGTAAAACGTCCTTTGTTCTTATAAAACATTATTAAATAAATTCCAATGCAGTGTTATTATTAAATTTCAATATTTTTCATAACTCAACTCTGGTTGGCTTATAGCTGCATTGCTAATGAGCAAGTGAGCATTAAATATCAGCCAGTTTATTGTTAGAAAGAACGTTTTGTTAAGGTGTTCCCTTTGAATCAAGTTTGTGATACAAATGAAATAACTTGCATTCCTGTGTAATTAAAGCAATAGGTATTATAGTCTTATAGAGACTGAGCTTTACCTACAGCTAAATGAGTTTCCTGTCTAATCCCTGTTTGATTAAGTACAGACGCAAGTATTTTTCTGGGGAATAAAATATTCATACCTGATTCAACTGATTTACGAGCAAATACAAACACACACACACCGCAATCTTGCACCTACGCACTCAGACACACTTGCAATCAAACACAAATACAAACGAACACATCCTCAGCCAGTGAGGAAATAAAGTGGGGGGGGGGGGGGGGGGGGCTAATAAAGCAGCAGCCGGGAGACCCCGATTATTTTTGGGCACCACAATTTTTTTTCCAGACTATAATACATTAATTTTGTATAATGTAATCTGTTAAATGGTCATGGAAAGTTAAAATCATATTTTTCAAAACCAAAAATCACTCAAATCACAGAACATTTAAAAACAAATAGATTTAATTATTCTCTGCTTGCACATGGTTTAATTAAAGCGTATATGCCTAAAATTATAAATTCTATTCTGATGTAGTAAGCTCACTTATTAATCTCCCTCACTAATTAATCAAACGAGCGTTCATAACCTCAATAATTAATCTGGCTGTATCGGCCGTCCAATACATTACTAATTAACCTATCTGTAACGGCAGTGTTTACATCACTAATTAATATGGCTGTAACGACCGTTCATTACTTCACATTTAGCTATAGATCCCTAGTGAGATTTTTACTCAATACATTTGATTTTCACATTGGTTTAGAATGTTAAAACACATTTTAGAACTAAACGAATTAGCGCCTACTACAAACTTCACTCTATAAACTCAGAAGAGGCTTATCTTTTTCTGACAATACTAATCTTTTTTTTAGGCGCAACCGCTCGCGCCCCAGCGATTACGTAGCCCGAAGTGCCTCAGGCTCCCCCGTGAGTACCATGGCGCAGACGTTTGTTTTTAGAAAAGGATGTACACTAAAGACACGATGCGCAACAATACTCGTTGACTATATCGAAACTTGCGCATCCTACGGCGTCCCGGCAGCGGGCGTTTTGGCTATCCGGACTCTCATGTAAGCACTATGGAGTATACGTTCGTTTTAAAGAGTGCGATGAGCTATGGATAGGATGTGTTATCATAGTCGTTCACCAAATTGAATATCATGCGTCCACCTGCGCCTCAGCAGTATTCGATTTGACGTCTCGAGCTATCATGTGAGCACTATGGCAACTACGTTAGTGTTAATGAGCTCTCAAAAATATTAACACGTTGGCTCACGAAATTTGATGATTAAGGGGTCGGTATAAAATCCACGCCGAGAATAGGTATATTGATAATACTTACGACGTCACAATTTCCCCCCCCCCCCCCCCATAACTCTCGGTAAATAATTTAATTAGCTTTAAATAAAACAAACGCTCTGATTTTTTGTTGCATAGAATAAATTATTGTGTTCTCTCTACACACTCAACAACTACCTGACAACACCACACTGCCCTATAAGAGTCTAGACTGGCTTGGTTGTACGTGAAGCTCTCTTACTGTGTCTTGTACCTGCACTGATCAAAAGAGATGGGCAATACCATAATACAAATGCTCCAGTGATTCGTACAACGTCATTAAGTATAATTCAACAGGAACGCTTTTCACAGACGTAAGTCATGAACCCTGAGCAAGGTGCATCGTCCAGAACAAAACGTCCGTTCCATATCGAACCGTAGGCGCAGTCGGCATTTTCCCAATTATCCGGTTGGTTGGTTTCGAAAATATTTGTCTTGACCACTGGGTCCACCTCTTGACCATCGTCCACCCAAACAAACATCCCCTCCACCTGTATATCGTTCAGGCCAATCCACACCCAGCCAGTGGAGTTGACGATGAACTTGAATAGATCAAACCTAGCCAGGGTTTTGGCCACAAAGAGATGGCCACCCAGAGACTGGCAGGTCGTTTCTGCGTCGGTGAAGTTTTGGTACGAGTTGAAGTATGCGGCGTAGGTTGTCTCGCCCCCGTAACTGAAAGACCTGTTTCAGATAGAGGTTAAAGACTTTGATTTTGTTCGAACAATAAGATAATCTGCGTAATGTGATGAGATATTGATGTTTGAATATAGTGGAGAAAATATTAACCATCGTTCTATAAGAAATTAATTAACAAAATGATTTCGTCAGAAAAATAACAGTAAAAATTACTTTTAAAGGTTAATTTGAGATCAGGACAGCTAAATTATGTAAAAACAATTGATTTAAGTTTTTTACCCTTATCTTTAACTTACTAAGGGATAATATTATCGGCATTATGTTTTGTCGACATTTAAAGATTTTAATGAAAACAATAATAGTTGTGTACATTTAAGTTTATAATGTAAACATGTAACGAGTGTTACGTTTCTGTGTAAAAAATATTGTGAAATATCGGCCTACATATTTTGGGGACAATTCAGAATTAACGTACACGCACATTATTGTTTTAAAATGCGCTTTGTTTTTTGTATATTTGAGCATTTCTTACTACAGCGTGTATTGAAAAATACAACAGTAAGGAGTCATGTGATAGGAAATAATGAAAAGAGTTAAGGTAGGTGTTAAGGTAAGGTATCCAACCTAGATTTACCTGAAATTCTGGTTACTGTCACAACCGTCTCCAAGGAAGAGATCGCCTTCTGTTGACGTGGGTGGAGGAAATAGTGGACTCAGACCTGACCCAGGCGTACAGAGTTTGGTCACCCGGTTGTACATAAAACTTGAGCACTGTGTCTTGTACCTGCCATGATCAGAAATATTTGAGTTTGGAATTTAAATTCTATAGGGCCTACAAGTTCAAACATATATTTGTTTTTTTTATGATAAAGTAAAGTAAAGATATAAATGCTTCGCGTGACCAGATTTCTAGATGAAGTAGATATTTTATTTTTCTCTGATTACGGTTTATCAGGTGACAGTGTGTTCATTTCACTGTTCAGCTGCATTCACGTTTTGATTCGTAACTTAGGTACCCTATCAGAGCTGGGTGGACTCAGGATCCAAACCTGAGATTTTTAGTTTAGGAGTGGTAATCTTGATTATAGTGCAAAGCGCTACATTTTTAATGGTGCGGATAGCAGCAATATTATAAAGTAATTTAACGTTTTGCATGCATCGTTTTTTTCCCTACCTAGTAGAATGTATTTGTTGTTGTAAAGAGTCAGTTTTGGCTCCTTGAAAGAATTGCTTATCTTCTTAATACAGCATTTGAATAAACCTTCGTTTTTGACGACCCAGTTCAGGGAAGGAATATCAGATGTGCATTACAAAGCTAACACGATAGTTTACATGCTGCAGACATAGATACTTATGAGCTCTACTTCAGCTTCACTAACGATCATCCGAACTCGGTTATTCTAATCTTTACTTTTAAATTTGACACGATCTCAATCCAAACAAAATTTTAATAGGAACATGACCTTTGACCTATGATCTATTGAACTCTTACCTGTACATGCAGCTGTAGGCACACGACGTCCTTGACCTCTCCACATATCCGTTACCCAGCCTCTCCGGGCCGCACGTGCTAACAGTTTTCTTGTGGAACGTTAAACTCTCCAGGCCAGCCTCCACTGACCACAACAGTAGCAGCTGTGATGTCACACCTGGAATGAGTGGAGCGTTAAGCGAGTCGTCTTTACATGACGTAAAACTCGTAGGGAGACGGAGGGGGGTTTGATTTTGTGACGATGTGTGATGAGTTGGAGGGCGCGGGTTCAGAAAAAAGTCTACTGACTTGAACCCGGATTCAAACTTGAGACTTATGAGTTAGTAGTCCAACTCGCTACCTCTAGGACACTCCGTAATATATTGTAATATATATTGATTAAAATATTTTAAAGTGACCGAGCCCGGTCAATATTTGAGAAAAAAATTCAATGCTTAAAAATATATTCAACTGAAATTTTGAAAGGGGGGGGGGGGGGTGGAAGGGGGGGGGATCGGCTCATGTGTAACATCATTTTAGGTGGGGAGGGGGTTCTGGATTTTTGTGATGCTGTGTGATGGAGGTAACCATCGTAATAAAAACGTGACGTCATTTATGGATGACCCTCTAAGACCAGTTCTAGAGACAGCGCTATACGAATATTACCTGGCTCTAATGCATTGGATCTTAACCTACTTAAAGGTACCGAACCACACCATTTCCTACATGATCATTGACTGAATACGGCTTTATAGTTCTATTCTCTACACTAAAAAAATCTATTCGCGATTATATGAGTCGGGTGTGTGTCTTGACATACGCCGAACCCCTAAGAAAGACTCACCCAAACCCAGAATTTCAATAAAACCCGGGTTCAGAAACCTTTCTGTAGAATAGCGCTGGAATGTAACTAAACAGAAAATGTAGCCGATTCAAGCGCTAAACTTAACTTATGAATTGAGTTTTAATTAATTTATTTCTCATTATTCTGGCTGCATGTGACGTAGATTCAAGGGGAGGGGGTGCGGGGATACGGTTGGTTGACCCTGAACAGTCCTAAGTCCACAGAAGGTCGAACGGAATCAAACAGATCAATATCAGCCTTGACACCAGTTCATTACAAGATATTAAATTACAAACTGCTAAGTTGATTTTGTCATTAATATAGGCTCAATTCTATTTGATCGTACTACATCCAAACCAACATTTTAGTGTTTGATCTATTACCTTGTCTAAACACATTTTCAAAGATTAATCGATTACACCAGCTTTCGGAGAACCAGACTGTTGTAACTCCACGTTTGAAAATGTTTTCAGATCTTTAAAATTTAGTTTTCCTTTAAATGTTTACATTAAGAAACCGATGATATTAAAGTTAGTGTTTAATTATTGGTTAGAGTAATGACCAAGGGATGGAGTGGTCTAGCGGTAGAGAGCTGGACTGCTAACCCGTAAGTCTCGAGTTCGAATCCGGGTTCAAGTCAGTAGACCGTCCCTGTGTCCATCCAACTCTGATGGGTACCTAACTCACGTTAAGGAAAGTAATGACGGCTGGGCATCTCTTCATATTCCGAGGTCACAGAAACAAGTGAACTCTACTTCCCTTGCCCCATAGACCGTCACGTTTGAAAGGGAAACTTTTAAGAGTAACGACCACATGCTTTCATTATTGTATTTCGGGAAATTTTGAACAAAATAGTTTATTCAGCTTAAAATAAAATACCCATATATATAAGATAAACAGTTTGGTTTATTGGGAAGAAATATTGCAAATTAGTTGTGATTACGTAATGAAATGTACTTCACTTTACAAAGAACATATTTTAATGCTCGACAATTTAAAAACATAGCTGTAATAAGACGTATATTTACAAAAAATATATAAAGGTAATACATTATACGACATAAAAACTATATTGATATGCTGCACGTGCAATCGATCAACCCTCAAGTAAACAACCGCCTCGTATCGAGCAGCTCATCGATCTAATTATCTGCTGTGTATTAGGTTAAAATATTTATCGTGTTTTTCTACAATAGCGTTGGGTGTGTAATGGTAATCGTTATCGATCATGATTGGTTGTGATGAAAAAATCGGTATTAAAAATCCACTCCGTAATTGTAGGTTTGAGATGTATGCGATTTCTTTATTAAGTGCTGAAGTTATCTGATTGAATAGCTCTAAATTGCTATTAAAGTATCGATCAAACCTTGAAATTATTCACTTTTCTGCACTATATATTTAATGTAATGTTTATCAAAATAATGCGAACAGTTTTAATAATTAACATAAAAAGCATTTGGTGGTTAAAAACAAAGAAACACATGAACAGAAGGTCTACGTCTTACGGCTTAAGTCTGATACAGGTCAAGATGGAAAGTGTCCAAGCAAATATTAAGAAGACCAAGGTTGCATTTAATTATCCGGTTAATGCCCGACTTGTTCCAAATTTCAGGGTTTGGTTGGCCATTTTGTGAAATGGCGAGGATGATTAGCCAAAGATTACTTTATTATTATTAATAAGAAATAAATAACTTCCTTTTTCGGAAAGCATAATGATGCATTTAAGTAATTCGTAGTTAATAATAAAATAAAAAAGAAAGTTCCAGCATGTTGAAAAAATCGATCATGTAATTTCAATCAGCTCTTGTTACAATTTTATGAACCTTCACGAGATGTTAAATTACCGCAACTGTATAATGCTGTTTCATTTGCTACAATTTTTGCTCATTAAGAAGTACACTTGCACCTGGTGAAGTCCTTACCACTGTAAAGTAATGTGGGAGACATGAAGTGTTTTGATTTTCTGGAAGAAATATGTCAACTAAGTTTTGGAGTACAATTGTTTGATATTAAAACCATCATGCTCTGTTCATAGATAGATGAAAGCCGAAAGACAGGGACATTAAAGCACGCACATTGGGATGGATTGGGCATTCTCTGAAATGAGAAAGGGATAATATCACGAGGACACAGTTAGACTGAAATCATCGGGTAATGAAAAGAGCAGTAAAAACAGAGGCAAAGGTTGCCGGGCTTACATTGGCGTAAAGAAAGAGAGCTGCCCTAAACCAAGTCAGATGGAGAGGTATGGCCTCAGCTTTTACTCCCCAGGGGCCACAAAGCAACATAGAAAAATAATTTGATGTTTATAAACTCCGCTAGATTGCTGCTCTGTCTACATTGAATCTACGAACTCCTACAGTTTCTCCACTTTGGTTGGTAGGAACCTCGCATCTGAATGTTTAATCTTTGCACGTTGAGCTTATGAACAAACATGAGATGCTGATCTATTATGTCTAGTTTCCTTCCTGCTTGTCATGAAATAGCTTGCTACTATATTCTCTTCGTCTACATGATTACTTTTTTTCACAAGTGATGGGCAGAAATTCACGCTTACTCTCACACTACGCATAATTGTTTTGCAATACAGGTATCGGAATTTTGTAGTTTGGCCGAACTATATTCTGCTATTTCTGGTAAATATCTGGGTAAAGCTGAATACACATTATAATTTTAAGTGTCTTGGATTAATAATCCATTTATTCTTCAAAAAGTGAAGCTCTTATTGGAGTAGTTGATACCACACGTATACAAAATAATTGCATTTATAAGTAATGAAAAATAAAAATAAAAATCACATTTTATGAATTATAACATTCTTGAATTTATAATTAGAACTGCTCACTTGAAAAATTGTAATGGGCCAGCTCACGCAATAGACAATGTATTTTTCGCTTTAGTAAATGCTATTACGTAATTTTGAAAATTCAACTCCAAATAAAACAAGTTATATTCAATTATTTTACATTAATGGAGCAGTGTAGTCTAACGAGTGTTAGACTCAAAAGTATAAATTTCGAATCCGGGTTCAGATCAATATAATTAACTTCATGGAATATGGAAGGTAAAGGCGGCTGTGTATAGAACTGACCCCATAAATCTTCACATACTGAGATCACAGAAACAGGTAGATTCTGTTTCACTTACCCACTTGACCGGTACGTTCGAAAAGGGAACTTCACTAATTCATATGTAATGAAAAACACATAGCAAAAAAAGTTTTAAAATTGTAAACATGTTTACAATCTTACCTATAAACGAAATCAAATGACACATTTTCTAAACCACCATCAGTTCTTATGTTTTGCGAATGTTTATAAACACGGCTTATCCTTGAGCGCTAACATAACCTCGGTATATTTCGTTATTTCGCTTTCCCATAGCAGATGTATATTTGATAGCTGCTCATTGATTCATTGAGTACAAGTTCAATACGGAAATCAAGAGCCGATCAGCCGAATAATAGATATATTGATCTTAGTGCAATTATATTATACAAATGCAGATTTTTTCCCCCTATTTGACTTGTTTTTAAACAAAAAAGTATGCCCAGAAGATGTAGTTTGGATGAACCCCCTGGTTTTTTTTTAAAAATTAATTTGTATAATTCTACTCACGCGAATAATTTGATAAACACCCTCTTTGTTTACATAGACGCCACAGATACTTGCTTT